AGTTCAAGTTGTCCCTGGAGCGAAGCAATAAGAAGCAGCTTATAAAATAAGCAAACACGGAGGCAGCTTACAGACAGTCAGCCAGCCGGGGATGAACAGCAGATGAACCACACACACAACTCTACGCTGCATTGATACCCCCCCCCCACACACACACACACACACACACCCCTGACCTTGACCCTTGAGGTCCTTCCTAACCTGTTTCTGAATGGAAGTCAGTGCAGCTGGGGCGTCTAGCCATGAACAAACCGCAACCCCCTCCAGCGCACAGACCCCTCATCGCCTAATCATTCAGCCTGTTCCCACGCTTGATGACTGGGATGCTGTCTCTGCATCTGAATGGTATAATTTAATATTTATGTGGCCGCCATGGTCCTGTCTGTCTGTTTCTAAGGGCAACAACAATTCCAGGATTATCTGTGGCTCGTATGAATTACCTGCTAAACATTAATCCGAATGTTTTATTTTCATTTCAGGAAGCTTTTCTTTCTTTCTGCGTGATATTATTCTTCTCCGCTTTACGCATCAAATTGCATCTGCAGTCTCTCTCAATGGCTCACTCATATAAACCATTCAGCCTGAGCGCATACGTACACTATATAATGTATGTGTAGGGGTGTGTGACTGTGTGTGTGTGTGTGTGTGTGTGTGTGTGTGTGTGTGTGTACATGTCATTCAGCGGGTTCAAACCCCTCCACCTTCACATTTTCATTACGGCCAAATCTCAGGCCTGTGCTACAGCAGCGTGGCCTTTTGCCGGCGAGCAGGCAGTTTAATCACACATACAGCACTACTCCATTTTCATTTCCTTTTCATACAGCCTCCATTCCACTCTGGCTTCATAATTCTCCCCTCAGAGCTGTCTAGAGCGTCTGAGTGTTTGCAGCCTGTTGAAATGACATAATCAGTGACTTGGATAAATGCCTGACTGTTTTTCCCTGAGTCTATAATCAGACTTGGGGCTCAGTGTTGCAGCTCTGAGGAAACAGCAGCAGCAGTAGCAGCAGCACTTGACTCAGGAATTACTTCCTAGGGAGGCTAGTCTCACATAAGGAATTTGGTAGATTATCAATGCAATGAATTTATTTTGGTCTACCAAGTGCACCTTGGTAAATAAAATAGTTGTTGTTACTTACAGAAGCATAAAAAGTGTTGTTCTTAAAATACATATCATACAAATACATACAATTTAATTCGATTTTTAATCTTAATTGTCAGGATTATTGGAAAGATAACTAATGCAAATGTCGAAAAGTGTAATTTGTCAAAAATAATTGAAAGTGTCAGTAAGTTAACTTAAGTGTTAAGTTTAGCTTCATATTTTCTTGAAATAAAAAACAAATAACATCTTTATTGATATATATTCCTTTTGAAAATGTCCAAAAAATGAAAAATATAAAAAAGTTTGAATTTTCATTTGGACTGAACTACCTCGTCAAAATAAAATGTTGTTAAATCTCTAAATCTCATAACAAACACAGTAACTGCAATTTTAATGTCATACAAGGAAAATCTTCATATGAGGAAGTTAGGCTACCAGAAAATGGCAAATCAAAAATGACCGATTTAGCTTGTGTGCTGTATTTTAAAGATATCAACACACCTATTCAAATTTCATTTTTCGTTCGAATGATGAAGTGTTTCGAGAAAGAACCGATCACTTATTCAACAAAGAAAGAAAGACGTGTGGAACGGGCCAGGATGAATTGAGCGATGGCTGTAAATGCTTTCAGCAACTATTACTTCAGTGGGTGGAACACATTCAATCAATACCTAAGCAAATAAAAAGCAGAGGGCAGTCTGAATGAGAAAAGCTGCAGCGGACTGGACGGCAATCACACACACAAATGAACAGTCCACATTCAAGCTGCTCCATGAAAATTATTAGTGAATACACCCATAAATACCTGGTTTATATAATATTATACAACAGTCTGACTCTGAGGGTTGAGGCCATATCCACATTTTCATCTTCATTTTTTTCCCTAGTAAGTTCTTACATCTAACTTCAACCAGATTTGTTTTTTTTAACATCTTTTTGTCTTTAACAAAATATTGTTACTATTCTGTCATTATTATTAAGAATTTAGACTCAATTATACACATTTTATATAATGTAATGCCCATAATTTATATAATTAAGAAAAATATTTGCGAAAATCATTAGGATCAATCACCAATCAGGAGGCATGTTAAAGAGTCCTATATGTAGCTTTGCTGTTGAAGGCCTTAAAGCCTATGAGAATGGTAAGAGCAGATATTGTCATTCTACTGTGCAGTGTTTCAAACACACATACACACATTCATGCACAAGCAATATGTCTAACCTAAAGCAAGGTCTACTGTACCATAGTGCCTGTTCTCTTTGTGTTGAATTATGCATAATTACAGCAGCGTAATAACACACATGGCTATAACCGTTATTAGGATAAAAGCTTTCTGCAGGAGATGGTGTTGGGGTGTGTGTCCTTCTTTCCTGTGAGTAAGTGTGAATGGAGACATTCGTACCCACGTGATACGGATTAGCATGCAAGTCTTTGTGCTCATATGGTTATGCGTGCATGAGCGCGTATGTAACAGCCATGGCGGCTGACTAGCATACGTGGTTGGGTGTAATGTTCACTGGGTGCTCATATCACATATGGTCCGCCTTGTTTGATTTGAATATGCAAATAAAGAAGAAAACAGCTTCACCCAGTTTATCCCCCATGATCCAGAAAAACTACTCTTTCTTCTTATAAAGACTTAACACCCACCTCCCTGCTGGGCTCGTCCTCCATCCCTCTCCCTCCACCAAGAGAACCCCACCCTTCTATAGTGCCCACACACATCCACATTTAATAGGTTTAAAATGTTCTTTCTGCTACATTATTTTCCTCTGTCGTCCTCCTTTTAATTACTATCTTTCACTTCTTGTCAGCCTGTTTTTCTAACTCTTTCCGACCCTAACTTCCACAAGATTTATTAACCAGGGGGAACAAATATACACATAAAATCAATTCAACTGTTCACCATACCATGAGAGCAGATTTGAGCCTGCCTGTCTGTCTTCTTGACTGCCATTTTCTCCAACAAAAGGATACAGCAGCTTGCAGCTCAATCCAAGCTAACTACAGCTAGCCTGGGCTCTGTACACTAACCGGCTCTCTACCTCGGCCTCATCAGTGTCACTATGGGCTGATTAGACAGAGAAGCTTGATTAAAACCACCTGAGTCTGATCGAGTAGATGATAACGGGGCTGAACCAGCCTTTTGTGGATGGTAAATGGCTGCAGTGGTTACCACATGCTCCTATTACCTTTTTAACCTCTGTAATTTAACCTATGTGAAGTGTCTTTGTGTTCCTTGAAAAGTGCTCTATAAATAAAATTATTATCATTATTAAAAGGATAGTTTATTTTCAAATCCCTCCAAAAGATTTCAAAGACAAGACATAGCCTGTAATTTGCTGTATCATAATCAACCTTATAGATATATTGGCCCTTTGTCATGGGTTGTTTCTGAAGGAGAGATACCATGTGTGTATGTCATCCTCCAGTCCTTGCTGTGAAGTTTAAAGCTACACTACAACGGACCGACAACAGATGTCATACAGCAGGTCTTCAGAGTGGATGATAGCCTATTTCCAGGACACAGACAATTCACCAAATCGCTCTTTCCAAAAATTAGCACTGACAGGTGAAAACGGCCACGAATGCCACGGGAGTTCACAATGAAACGGACAATTGCACAAACACACAACTATGGACCTCAGACACACACACAAACATAAACACACATGTCAATGCACAACAGCAGCAACAGAGGATCCATCAGCACAGCTAACACCACATTAAGACCATAAAGCACCAATACATCTCCTGTTCCACGTACACAGCCCGGATCCTGCTGCTTCTGCACTGATACCCCTGATCCCCCTGCGCTTTGACAAGGCGTAATAAAGCCTGTATGAAGCGCCGCATTGTGTGGGGAGAACACAATGTTGCATGCTGAGTGCTGTGAGAAGGGCGTACACCCGTGGGTCCCACGGCGCAGCAGCGCACCAGGGCCTATAGCAGGGAGTGCTAAGCATGCTAATGAGGTCATTATGTTATGCCTCTCCCTCGCTCCTGCTCTCCTTTACAGTGTGGGCTTTGCCTGTCAGAGGAGGCAGGGTACCCTGGTAATGCAGCCAACCACAGATGTCACATATGGCACAATGAGAAGACTCATGAGCGTCTCAGTCGCTGAGAGAAAGATGGGGCGACGCTCCATTTTTCAGCTAGCATCAAAAGCAAGAACACGCCATCAATGATTTGCATAAGGTGAGCTTAAAGGAAAGTAAAGAGGAGGGCAACAACAGGGCTAATTGTTCCTGCTGTGTATTCAATCAGCAAGCGCACAGGATTGTGTTTCCTTTTTTTCCTTTTTTACTATAGCGCTATTATTTACAACCGAGGGGGAGGGGTTAAGCATCAAGCACATGCAAATGCAATTACAAGATATTTGCATAGCCGTTAACAATTAGAGGGCAGATGGCAAACAGCGGGCATTAAAAAGCGACCGAGCGCCATCTTGGCTGAGGGAGACAGCTGGCAGACAGGAGTCGGCCATTTTGTAGGCATGGGTCGCTGCCAGGCTGAGGCGTAGAGAGGCGCCAGTCTCTCTCTGTGTGCCAGGAGATTGGCAGACGAGGGGGAGTTGCGCTTTAATACCCTCCCTGGTACAGACAACAACAACAATCTACTGCAACACTCAGTGACAGTATGATCACAGCCCAGGGCTCCTGCTGAGAGCTGACTGAGGAGATCAACTACAACACAACGTGTCTATGTTTACTTTAAAAACACACACGCACCTCTGAGTGGAGATGGTATCTTATCATAACACTGTTACTAGGAGGGGAAATATTTCTTATATCTGTTGTTCTCCCTGCTTAGTTCAATATGGCTCTCAGAATGATATAGGTGGTTTTATTTCCCACAAAACAAGCAATTAAATGAAGATATTGTACTTACCAAGAGGTATGTATCCCGTTGTAATCTCTGTTAAGTTTTCATGCATGGAAAACTCTTCATCTGTCCTCTAATGTCCTTTAAAGTCCACAAATGTACTATACAGTATGTCTTGCGACATGACCTCAGCCGGATGTTTCTACCGCTCTCTGAGGATTTTGCCAATTTTCTTCAGTCACCACCAATTTGCTAAAACATCTGAAGAGCGAGTCTCTTTGTGTGGTGAAGGACTTTTGTAAACGTGGAGGAGAAAAACGTCAGATGAAAAACCAAGTAGTATCAGACAGGAGGAGGGGGGCACTGAACAGGTACAACTACTGTCCTTTTCATCTCTCATTCAATTAGCAGCCATTCACTTGTGCTGCCATGGGATCCCTGCTGTACAGCAGTAAGTGGACTTCAGGTGCTATTTCCACACACACACACACAGAGAGAGAGAGAGAGAGGTATGAAAGCCTGGGCCCGCCTTCCTCTCTTCCACCTTATAGATCAATACAGCACTGCCATATCCTCTGATGGGAGCTGCTGTAGTGAAGGTAAGAAAATCTAAGGCGAAAAGACAGGTTGTGTCTAATATAGTGGATGAGAGAAAAAGTTCAAATTGTCCTTTCATCCTGGCTCATGAGATCTTAGGAATATTGCGCGCTATGTGCTTGGAAGTGGCACTGAGCAGAAACGTCCTGTGTACTGTCTCAGATGGATCCTTATTCAAACAGTTAAGGTGGAATGAGTATTAAGGGGGAGGGAGCTGGAAGAAAAGAGACCTTCGACATCCTGTCTTATTCTTCTTCCGTTTCTCTCCCTCCCTCGCTGTCTCCGTGTCTCTCTGACAAAGTTTTATCAAGTGGTGTTGGACGCAGCAAAAACCCCTCCGGCTGAACCACACACAAAGACTCTCTCTCTCTGTCTCTTCCCTCTCCCTTTTTCTCTCTATTTTACACACACATGTGCACCTACTGACACACACACTGCGTGTGGGGCGGTTGCAGGGTTAGGGCCCTGGCCCTGGCTGGTGCTGGGACTGTTGGAGAAAGATAGAAAGAGAGATGGAGAGAGGAGCTGGGAGCAGTGGTTGTGGTTGGTCCCTGGGCTCCGAGGCCTGCAGGCGGTGCTGGGCAACCTCTGCTAGCCTCTCTCCTCTGTATTGATTTCTGCTGCTCCACGCTGCTCCGCTCTGCCGCGGAGGCTCCTAGCCGGCGGGGATGAGAGCTCGGCTCACCCGCCTCACCTGCCTCTCTCCTGGCTTGGCTGGCCTAGCCTGCCCACTCTGCCGCAGCTTTGGCTGGCCCCTGCTGGCTCCCCGGGACCCCTGTATGCAGCACCGGGGCCACAGGAGGAAGGCAGCCAGAGAGCCCATGGCGATCCACAGCTGTGTTCACCTGCTCTGGGTTCACCCGCTTCGAACCACCTCCTCGAACTGCTTCAATCCTTCTCTCCTTCCATCCTTCCACCCACTCTGCTTCTCTTTTTCCTCCTCCACTGCCTCCTCCTCTTCCTGCTGTACACAAACAACCAGAGACAGAGATGGAGAAAAAACAAGTTAATCTTAACTTTCAGCATTTTACCCACTCTGAATGTCAAGCCTGGTCTTTGATCAGCGAGAAGTCGGGGGTGAGGATTCTGGCATCCTCTCTCAGCCAGTAATGTGAACCTGCTAACCTTGGAGAGCAGAAACTGCTGGGATTGGAGGCCTGAGAGTTAAGTGTGTCAGGCAGAGAGATACTGTCTGCCAAAGGTACTCTCAGCTATTAGATTCTGATGTGCTGCAGATAGCAAAATATAGCGAGAGTGGGCCCATTATAAAAATCACCACTGTGCCAAAAGAATACATTACAAATATTTACAGCAAAAGTTTCTCTTCAACATCCACCCTCTTTTGCTCTCCCTCTGCCGCCCAAGCCCAATGAGTTTTATATTTATTTTTATATTTGCCCATGATGGTTATAAATAACAGAAGCAACGTTTAAAACTGGCTAGATATTTCAAACTACCCTTCCCTCACCCTTCTCTGTTTGTGCCTTAGTGAGTGTGAAGGAATGGAAATGTTTTGGCCAGACCAGTGGTGCTCTATAGAAACTTTGTCAAAGAAAACATCTCAGCTTTTGTATCATCCAGAATTATTCAAATGGGTTCAGCAGCCCTCTTCTTATGATAATAGCAGTTGGGGGGACATTTCTTTGAGGATTCATGGTCCCATTGTGTTCCTCAACAGAGAAAGAGCCATGGCCAAATTCAACCCCCAGCACCCCACATTGCACCGCGCTGCACCAACCACACGATCTCCAAAATATCCTCGTCGCAGCCACCACAGAGCTGTGACAGCCCTTCTGTCCACCTTTTACCACCCCTCCGCAGCCCTGAAAAAGAGACTAAAACCCACGGGCCGACTGCCAGGGGAATAGAGAAGTAAAGTGCAGAGGTTTAGAGTCGGTGGGCAAGGCTTTGGAAGTTAGAGCTGTCTGTTAAGGAAAGAGCGAAGGGGGTGCGAGAGTGGCATGGGGGGTTACACTGTTGGGACAAGAGAGGCAAGTTTGGGAGAGGGGGGCGAGTTGAGTTAGGGGGACATGGATGGGGACCGGGGGTGCGGTGCATGTCTCAGACACAATAATACTATTCATTGGGCTCAGACATGGGTGTTAACTCCCCTCTGACAGAGCACAATGGGACTCGGCGGCATTCAGGCAGCCTTGGTGATATTGTTAGTTCAGGGCTGCATTCTCCCTGCCGCAGGATAGAGCGCCTGCATTGTACCCGTCCGGCAGGATGGATGGAGGGAGGTTTGAGAGGTGAAAGGCAAAGAAAGAGAGAACAGTACGTTTGTCTATCTGTCAGTGCTGAAGGAGCGAGGGACAGAGGGAACAGGGGGTGGAGAAGGTGGGGAGGGGCGGCGGAGGTTGTGTTGTTAGGGGTGTTTTTCCCCATGGCATTGGACTTGTTTGTTTCAGAGGGGAAAAATAAAAGGAGAAACTGAGACTAAAAGAGACAATAAATATTACTCAAGCAGCCGAGTGCAGGGCTAAAGAGGCTTTAAAGCGGGTGGGGACACAGACGGAGGGAGGAAGGCATGGTGGCGTTTTTATGGGAGAAAACGCAGCGGGTATGTATGCTGCTTTCGAGTTCAGATGGATTTTGTTCATACGCCTCAAAAGAGGGAGAGAGAAGAATGTAAAAGGGGTATGACAGAAAATGAGAACTGTGGAGGTTGCTGCTGTTTGTGACTCGGATGAGGTGACAGCCAACTACCACGAGACCTACTTTTCCAAAGGAGAGGAGAAGAGAGGAAAGGAGATACAGTATATAATTTGAAGGCAGAAGAAACTGAAACAGCTGAACCAGCACAGTAGGCACTGGGGAACGCAGGCTACATACAAGTCAGGTTTCCATCCAAATGTAACACAAATCTTTAAGGAATATCTAGAAAATCAGCTGAATTAAATGTGTATTAATGCATGTTTCCGTCCCGCACTGTTATGCAAGTATTAGCTGTTGGGTGAAACAGTTGGTGGTGCTAATTCTCCAGTCAGGTGTCATTACACCATTGCATAAGAAGAGGTCGCAACGAGGATATATAATTAAAAGGTCATCAGTCGCAGTGGAAAACGTGAGAGAAATTTGACATTTATGTTTGTTTCATGCACTAATGTGAAGAACCTTTCAGTCTCCTCGTCGCTCTAAACATTTATTTTTGTCAATTTTTCGTATCCAAAGTAAAGCGCTTCTTGTTTTTTTATCGATACACCAATAATTTTTTGACTACAGTTGGACTTCAATGTGGTACACACTCATAGAGAGATCACATTTAAAGAAACATGCAAGGTTAACATTAAGGTCCTTGTCGCATCTGCACACATTGTGTTAACACACTCATTCATAGAAAAATATCTGAGAGAAGGCAGACAAATCTAGCCGTAGTTCAAAATCTGAAATCACATAGAGCAGTAGCTATTACTTTATTAATGGATTAGTCAGTCAACAGAAAATCAACTATTCTGTGAAAAACTGCAGTCCTTGTCTTAACATTATAATAAATTAATAATTATATTTTTTGGTCAGACAAAAGAAGGACATCTGATGACATCATACTGGGCTCCAGGAAATTGTGACGGGCAATTTGAAACCATTTGTGATGTTATAAGGCAGATGGATTCATCAAGCAAATAACCAGCTGATGAATGCATCCCCTAAAACAATGCCAAAGGATGAACGCATTCTTCACTTTGTTACACAAGTGTATCTTTTTCCTTAAAATGAACTTGATGATGATATTACTTGAACACGTCACGTATAAAAGGCAACACTATGCGGCCATACGGGCTCATATCTCAACATACTCCTCTGGAAGCTGCAGTCCCTGCATGTTTTTGATGTCTGAAGATTTTATGAAGGTACTGTAAAGCAGTAAGGTATTGGTGAAAAGGACAAAGATATAAAATGATGCAGTATGCATGGCTTCATACACATGTATCTAATCACTAGACATGACACACAACCCACATTTGCACAACACACACACACGCACACATACACACACACACACATACACATACACACACACACACACACGCACACACACACACACACATACACACACAGTATCACTGCTCCTTCTGCACAGAACAACCTGCTTTCATGAACAGTACTTTGTTTGTTTCCCCTCTGGTAAACTCTGGCCAACCGTTCCCATAGCAACCTTACCTACTCGTTCCCTGTGTGAATGTGTGTGTGAGAAAGAGAAAAAGAGGGAGAGAGGTATGTGGGGTTGTGAGGAGGTTTAGAGTAGGACTTCCTGATCTTAATACAACAGTGTGTGTGTGTGTGTGTGTGTGTGTGTGTGTGTGTGTGTGTGTGTGTGTGTGTGTGTGTGTGTGGGTGATGGGGTGATTGAAATATGAATCAAGGGATCCTGTACATGTCAATTCTCAATGAATTGATTGATGATGATTCTGTGACGTCTAAAAGCAACTACAGTCATCTGCATTCACTCTCAGTAGTCGGGAGTCAAACTGCCCTCCTCAGATAAGGAAAAAGCCAGCGGTGTGATGCTGGGTTGTCAGGCAGGCAGGGGCAGGCCAGGGCACAGCTCTCGTCAGGGGGCTAATGCCCTTTAGGGGTGGCTGAGGTAGCGAGGGTACTGCCCTTTGTCCCTGGTGGGGGGATTACACTGGTCAACCAGCACAGACAATGTACCCCCCTCCTGAGATGGGAGGACCAACCTGCTCTCTACCAATGATAGGGGCAGTCAACTGATCACTAACTTAATTAAGGACCGAGGAAAGTAACAGAGGAGGAGGAAGGGTGATGCAGAAGACTGAGAGAAGATGTTGAGACAGGGGTGATAAAAGGGGGGATAAAGAAGAGAAAGTGAAAGGAGAAGAAAGCAGTGCAGGAGCACAGGGACACGCTAAAATAAGAAGAGGCATGGAGTTAAAAAGAGAGCAATGGGAAGCAGCAGAGGGGTGAAGAGAAGGCTTCTCTAGCACAGGATTATGGGAGGGAAGATGAAAGGATCAGGTCTAACAGAGGACAGGAAAAAGGCCAGAAGAGATGGCCAGAGGAGGGAGAGACCAGCGTTTTAAACTCCAAGCAAGGAAATTAAGTAGAAGAGGGAGAAAGAAAGAAGAGAGGAATAGAGCTCAGGTGTCCATGACCTCAAGGCACTGGTGGAAAAGGCCTTTTTTTATAACAGGTGCACAATGTGAAAAAAAAACTCCCTTTCTGTTCCCTATTTATGCCACAGCACACACACCTACTCAAATCCAATGACAAATGCAGCAGATAATTCTATTACAGAGGACTTTAATAGAGGATATTTAGGGGACAGTTAGCGGGCCTTGGTAGCATAGCTCAGGCCCACTGCAGACAGATATGGCTCTGCAATACTTAACAACAGGGATTTGGCAGCACTGTTGATTGAACATGCCAAATCCCATTTGTCGGAGGGCTGTGCGCGTTTGTATCGACACTCTGTAACCTTGTGGCTCCGTAAAAGGAGACCTCAGTGTGTGTGTGTGCATGTGTGTGTGTGTGTGTGTGTGTGTGTGTGTGTGTGTGTGTGTGTGTGTGTGTGTGTGTGTGTGTGTGTGTGTGTGTGTGTGTGTGTGCGTGTGTGTGTGTGTGTGTTTTCCTGGCGGGCAGGCAGGCAGGTGGGTGGCACAGTTCAGGTGGATAGGTGCAATGGTCTAAACTCTGCTCCATCTATGCTCCTCTCCATCACTTCATCCTTCCATCTTTACACCACCATCCGCTTTGATTCCCCCTCTTCACAAAAAAGGTGGACAAGCGGGAGATAGAGAGGCTTTCTCAACACTCCTTTTCTTGCTTTCCCTCCCATCCTCCCCCCCCCTCCCTCCCTCCGTTCCTTCCATCCCCTATGGTAGAGCTGCCAGACAGGAGTGCTCAGCAGCTCTCCGAACGTTATTGATCCTGAGAGCAAGCCGGCCAGGGAGTTGGTGTCTCTCATTCTCTCTCTCTCTCTCTCTCTCTCTCTCTCTCCTCCCT